AGCTCCTCAGATGGCCCCTCAGCAGGTCGTTCAGCCAGTTGCAAATACAGGGCAGTCTAAGGATCTTAAGAATTTTATGGATCTTAAGCCACCAGAGTTCGATGCTACACATGCTTCTATTGAGCCTCAGAAGTTCATTCAACATTGTGAGAAGATACTTTCTACTTTGGGGCTGAAGGAGACTCGAGGGGTGGAATTTGCCACTTTTCTATTTTCAAGATCTGTAGAGTCATGGTAGAATTCAGTTCAGAGAGGTAGACGAGCAGGGTTGCCACCTATTACTTGGTCAGAGTTTTCAGCTATGTTTATGGATAGGTTCGTTCCACTGAGCAAGCGAGACGACATAAGACGTCAGTTCGAGAAACTACGCCAGGGCAATATGATGATTACAGAGTATGAGGCTAAGTTTACTGACTTAGCCAATTACACACCTTTTCAAGTTGCAGATAAGCATGAGAAGGTGAGGAGGTTCGTGGATGAGCATGAGCATTTTTGGGGTCCTGTGGTTAGGGATGTTCGAGGTGGTTCGTACGAAGAGGTAGTGGATACTGCTCTCCGTTATGAGTCTTATCAACAGAGGGACAGGACCGAGCAAGAAAGCAAAAGGGCTCGTAGCGCAGGCGGGTTTAGTGGAGCTCCATCTGGGGGCAAAAGTGATTTTAATCATGGGCAGTCCAGACCTACTCAGTCAGAGTCGGTGGTGCAGTCTTCTAGGAGTGCTTATCCAGCTAAACAGGGACAGCAACAGATACAGAGGAAGGATAATAGCTCATATCAGTCAGGTGAACATCCGAGGTGTTCGAATTGTGGTAGAAATCACAATGATCGTTGTTTTGGAACAGATGGGGCTTGTTTTACTTGTGGTCAAAAAGGACATATTGCTAAGTATTGTCCTAGGGGATATTCTACTACTAGCCATACTACTCCACAGCCGCAGAGAACGTTTACAGGTACATAGACTCAGACTCAGCCAGCTAGAGTCGCTCCGCAGGTTGCTCGTGGACAGGGTTGACAGGGTGCACAGGCTGCTTAGGGAGCAGGTAGATCGCCGAGATTCTTTGCTATGACCAGACAGGATGCTAAGGCATCTAATGCAGTAGTCACAGGTATTATCACTATCGGTTCTTATGGGGCTTACGCTCTTATTGATCCTGGTTCTACGTATTCATATGTATCTCCATATTTTTCCATATACTTAGAACGAGGAGTTGAGTCTCTTATTGTGCCTTATATTGTGGTGACCCCAGTGGGGGAGACTATATCTGTGGATAGAGTCTATAGAGATTGTGTGATATTTATTCATGGCAGGGACACCGTAGTTGATCTACTGGTATTGCCTATGTCCGACTTTGATGTAATTATGGGTATAGATTGGTTAGCGTCATGTTATGCTTCAGTTGATTGTCATTCCAAGCTTATACGTTTTGATTTTCCTGGAGAACCATGTTTAGTGTGGAAAGGCATAACTCCTCTGACTTAGGGAAAGATAATATCCTATGTAAAAGCACGTCGAATGATTAATAATGGGTGTTTGGGTTTTATTGCTACCGTTCATGATACGCGCTTTGAGGATGTTACTATTGATAGTGTTCCAGTGGTTCAAGAATTTGCTGATGTGTTTCCAGAAGATTTACCTGGCCTGCCTCCGACAAGAGAAATTGAGTTCAGTATTGATTTGGTGCCAGGAACTCAACCTATCTCTATTCCTCCATACCATATGGCTCCAGCGGAGTTGAGAGAATTAAAGGTTCAACTTCAAGAGCTACTTGATAAGGAATTGATCAGGCCTAGTGTGTCGCCTTGGGGTGCACCTGTGTTATTTGTTAAAAAGAAATATGGCACGATGAGAATGTGTATTGATTACAGGCAGTTGAATAAGGTGACGATCAAGAATAAATATCCGTTGCCATATATTGATGATCTATTCGACCAGCTACAGGGTGCAACTCACTTTTCAAAGATTGACCTGAGATCGGGTTACCATCAACTGAGAATTAATACCGAGGATATATCTAAGACAGCGTTTCAGATCAGGTACGGGCATTTTGAATTTTTTGTGATGTCCTTCGAGCTTACTAATGCCCCCACAGCATTTATGGACCTCATGAATAGGGTATTCAAGCCATTCTTAGATCATTTTGTGATCATTTTTATTGATGACATTTTGGTCTACTCTCGAAGTGAGACAGAACATGAACAACACTTGAGAGTTGTGCTACAGACAGTTAGGGAGCGAAAGCTTTATGCCAAATTCTCAAAGTATGAATTTTGGTTGGATACAGTTTCCTTTTTGGGACATGTGGTGTCACGAGATGGGATTCAAGTTGATCCAAGGAAAATAGAGGCAGTTCAAGATTGTCCTCGACCCACTACTCCTACAGAGATACGTAGCTTCTTAGGCCTAGCCGGATATTATAGAAGGTTTGTTGAGGGTTTCTCAAAGATAGCCACTCCATTGACTCGATTGACTTAGAAAGGTGTTGCATTTCAGTGGTCAAATGAGTGTGAAGAAAGTTTTCAGAAATTGAAGATCGCGTTGACTACAACTCCGATTTTGACATTACCTACAGGTGCAAGGGGTCTTACTATTTATTGTGATGCGTCTCGAGTCAGTTTAGGTTGTGTGCTAATGTAGAATGGCAAGGTAGTAGCTTATGCTTCTCGATAGCTAAAGAACCATGAAAAGAATTATCCAACTCATGACTTGAAATTGGCTGCGATCGTATTTGCACTTAAGATCTGGCGTCACTATCTTTATGGTGAGCCGTGTGAAATCTATACTGATCACAAGAGTCTACAATACATATTCAAGCAAAGAGATATGAATCTGAGGCAAAGACGGTGGTTAGAATTACTTAAAGATTATGATCTTACTATTTTATAGTATCCCGGAAAGGCGAATGTGGTGGCAGACGCCTTGAGTAGAAAGTATATGGGTAGCTTGGCCCGATTTACTACTGAAGAACGACCTATGGTTATGGATATTCAGGCGTTGGCCAATCGGGGAGTGCATATTGATCATACATTGCCGGGCAGATTACTTGCGGGTTTGGTAGCACAATCATCCTTGGTTGGACAGGTCAAGGCTCGTCAATTTGAAGATTCCGATCTTGCTAAACTCCGAGATCGAGTGCAGAATGGTGGGGTTAAGTCATTTGCTATTGATAGTGAACGTGTGTTACGTCGACATGGTAGATTGTGTATCCCTATGGTAGGTGATGTAAAGCAGTTGATTCTCGAAGAGGCTTATAACTCCCGCTACTCTATCCATCCAGGTGCTAATAAATGTATCAAGACTTGCGTGAATTGTACTGGTGGAAAGGTATGAAGTATGATATTTTGAAACATGTGACTAGTTACTTAAATTGTCAGCAGGTGAAATATGAACACAAAAAATAAGGCGGTGTGATGCAGAATTTAATTATCCCGGAGTGGAGGTGGGAAAGGATTACTATGGATTTTGTAGTTGGGTTGCCACGTACTTTTAGAAAACATGATTCAGTATGGGTGATCGTGGACCGACTCACAAAGACCGCGCATTTTATACCGGTTCGAGTTACTCACACTGCAGAACAGTTAGCAGATATTTACCTCCGTGAAATAGTTCGACTTCATGGTGTGCCTATTTCTATAATATCAAATCGGGGTGCACAGTTTACTGCTGAGTTTTGAAAATCTTTTCAGAAGTCATTGGGTTCTCAGGTTGAGTTGAGCATAACTTTCCATCCACAGACGGACGGACAGTCCGAGCGGGTTATTCAGATCTTGGAGGACATGCTTAGAGCTTGTGCAATTGATTTTGGTGGTCATTGGGACGATCAGTTGCCATTAGTAGAGTTTGGTTATAATAACAGCTATCAGTCGAGTATACAGATGGCGCCATTTAAAACTTTATATGGTCGTAAGTGTCGTTCACCAGTTGGATGGTTTGAACCTGGTGAAGCACAGCTATTGGGTCCGGATTGGGTTCAGCAAGCTTTGGAGAAAGTTGCATTGATACAAGAACGACTTCGGACAGCTCAAGGTAGACAAAAATCTTACGCAGATAAGAGAGTTCGTGATTTGGAGTTCATGAAATGAGAAAAAGTCTTTTTGAAGGTGTCCCCTATGAAAGGAGTCATGAGATTTGGGCACAAAGGTAAGATAAGTCCGAGGTATATTGGCCCGTATGAGATTTTAGATCGAATCGGATCGCTGGCGTATAAACTTGCCTTGCCTCTGAGGTTGTCTTTGGTTCATCCTGTATTTCATGTGTCTATGCTTAGATGATATATTCGCGAAGATAGTCATAAGATCCAGGCAGAGGATGTGGAGCTTGATGAGAACTTAACTTATGAAGAAGGTCCGATAGCTATTCTTGAGAGGCAAGTGCGACAATTGAGATCGAAAAAAGTTGTTTCAGTGAAAGTATTATGGTGCAACCACCCTACAGAGAAAGCTACGTGGGAGTCCGAAGTAGACATGCGAAGAAAGTACCCCCAGTTGTTTGAGATGTCAGGTACACTTTCTAACTCGTTCGAGGACGAACGCTTGTTTAAGTGGGGGAGAGTGTAATAACCGAAAATTCTATATACACATACTAACTTAAGAGTTTTAAAATTTATTTAAATAGTTAGTGGGCCTAATTCATTATTACACATGTGGAATGGGTAATAAAGTAATTGGAAATATATATATATATATATATATATATATATATATATATGTGGTAAAAAGTTAGAGCTAGGCCCATATATATATTTTTATCTGGTGGCCCACATGACAAGACCTAATATACAGAGTAAGGGAAATTGTAGTCTTGATTAATACAAAGAAAGAGAAAAAAAAATACACGGCAAATAGAAATTTTCGGAAAACTGACGGAGCAATTGTGGGGGATCTCAAGCCTAACCTTGTGAGGAGTATTTGGTGAGAAATAAATCCAAGTGTTCAGGTAATATACTATTTGGGGATCTCAAATGATTGGTACAATTGAAACCTATGAAAAACTATATTGATGGTGTTGTTTCGTGGGTTTAATGTTAGGATACTAATTAGTAACTAACGATGGGGGATTAATGGAGAAATATTTTGGGGATGAAATAGTCATATAAATCAGGTATTTGCAAGATTTGTTCCTACGTGGGTGTATTATATTGAATTTGCAGAAAGTGGTTATTATCTTTACCTAAATAATGATTAGATTACAATGATTGTGCAATAATGAGTTCATAAATTTTAAAGTGAGAATGTGTACTGCTTTGTATATTGAAATTTATTCTAACAGTACCTAATTCTAATTTTTGGTACTAAACATATGACATGTAGGAATCTAAACATGATTTTCATGATCAGGAGTAATTATATTCAAGAGTTGGCAATGTTTAGGAATTGTAATGATGAGGTTGGGAAGATTAAGAATCATATGTAATGCATTCCGCAGACAAACACTGTTTCGGCTATTTTGGTTGACAATTTATTATGTACAGATTCTTATTAATTACACGGGGGGTTGGCTTTGATTTTGAATTTCCCTAAGATCATGGGAATCTTACATCTAAACTAATTAGAATGTGTTATTCCATATTTTGAATAGATTAAGGCCATTGGAGGTCATTTGGTTGGGGTTCTAGGCGTGGCAAGATTGGAGAACTTTCCGTTAGTGAGGTAAGTGAGATTTTAAGCTTTGATGCTTACTTTTCTAAAACCCGTTTTAAAAATTAATTTTTTCTGTCCGATCCATATGTTGGGATAAGTGTGCACTTGGCAGAATCGGTGGTATTAGACTAGCAGCAAATATATTATTTTATGAAAAATACAAAACAAAAAAAAAAATATAAGTTGTTTGATAGTTTGATACGGCTGTGAGCCATGTGTTGAGTTGATATGGTTGTGCGCCATGATGTCGAGTTTGATAATTTGATACGGCTGTGTGCCACGATGTTGAGTTTGATACGACTGTGCGCCACGATGTTGAGTTTTATACGACTATGTGCCATGATGTTGAGTTTGATACGGCCGTGCGCCATGATATTGAGTTTGATACGGCTGTGCGCCATGATGCTGAGTTTGATACGGCTGAGTGCCATGATGTTGAGTTTGATACGATTGTGCGCCATAATGTTGGGGCATTGTGTATGCTCTGTTACATATTTGAGGCATTGTGGTGCCGTTGTGAACTTGTAGGTGTGTTGGTAAATTTCTTTCACTTCAATTATGATAAGTCCTTAGTGGGTACTCTTGTTGGTTAATTCTTAATAACTCTGTTGATACACATATATTGAGTTATTGTATAACTATCATATTTACTATATCATTCGTGTTGTGATGTGTTTGTATTTTCTAACACTTATTCCAGAGGTATTTAAAGTAGCGGTTCGAGGATCTTACTGTGTTATATTTATGTATAACTCACTCCTTACTCGCTTCTCTATGCAGATACCGTTGCGGGAGATAGAGCTAGTGGCTGACGAGTTGTTCGAGTGGATCCTATTGCTGAGGTGAGCCACCACATTATTCGTGGAGGCTTTCGTTTCATACTTACCTAGCTCGTGTTAGTTATTTCCTTTTTCTTTGGGATTTGTATACCTGTCAATAAAACTCATGTTACTCTATTAGATGCTCCATGATCTTAGTATGGGATTTGGGCTAGAGTTTTATTATTTGAGTGATTGTTGGTCTTTCTATAGATTGACTAAGGCATTGGGCGATAATTATTACTTCTTTAATTATTAATAATACTTTAGGCCTGCACTTTGTCTCTCAGTGTTTATGTAAATGGTTAAACGTTAAACACAAGGGGTACGCCTGGCAGGTGGTGTTAGTTGGGTGCCATTCACGTCTAGGGGGTAGTATGGGACGTGACATGGGAAATGGAAGAGACACCTTTTGGATTGCACCTTTCCATATCACCCTTCCTTTGTCTATAAATTTAGAGGCTTGGCCTCATTTTTAAGAAATGGAAAATCTGAAATCTTCTCCCTTCTTTTCTACATTCTTGCATTATTTTCTAAATAAACATAAGTGTCAAGTGTGATTTGCTCTGTTTGTTGAGTTCACTGAAGTTCTGTGATTTGAAGTGCCGCTATCACAGAATAGTTATTTCATTCTATCCTGGGAGGAATTAAACCGTATATCTTGGGCAACAATGAGAGAATTAAATTCTTTAAGGACACACTGTGAATTCAGTGGACTCGGATTTAATGTTGTTCTTCCTATGTATTTCTATTTCTCTTTTACTTTACATGATTTTCTGATTTTGAACACAGATTACCAACACTTTTCTGGCATCAAATTTTATAGGAGGAAAACTTCCTCATGAATCAGTTATGCCGTAGAATCACCCAACCTTCTTCTATTTTTGAACTCAATTGTTTTTCTTTTTAATTACTGTAAACCGACAACAACAAAAATATTGTACCATATAAGAAAATTAAGAATGCAAATCCATAAACCTCTATGGCCGGTGACTTTAAGGGAGGTGAACCTTCACTTTTCCAAGGCCTTAAAGGGGTTCTAATATGATGGCTGAAAAGGAGGCAGAACCTCCACTCTAAATTCAGTTTAGAAAATATATTAATCTTATATATTGCAATAGCGGCACCACCATATTTGCTCCGTAAATTATATAAATAATTTATATAAATAAAACAACTTTATACAAATCAGTAGGTTACCACTTTGCTGCTTATACCGTCGCCACCACCAAGAAACAGCCCCTTTTTTTTATATTGAAAAACAAATAAGGAACCAAATAAGTTTCTGTTGCTAAACAATGGGTTTTACTCCCTGGCTAAAAGCCGAAACAAAAATTTTGAAGTTGAATTCGGCATCAACTTAATTTCTCTTGAAATTATTAAACAATCATGAATTTGTTATTTGCAATCATGCAACGTAACATAACTCTTGAACTAGGGTAACCCATGTAATCCCAAAGCAGAACGTTCCGAAATAATTTTTCTAGAAACAAAAAGGTGCCGGGAATATTTTCTTGGAAATCTCATAACTAATTCTCAATGAATTAACATGATATTGGCTCCTGATATCAATTATTAAAACCAAATTACTTTAAAGATGAAATCCTTCATCTTTATCCGAGAACTATTGTATACGGGTAGAATCGAGCTCTATGCTCGATCGAGGCATCTGAAAAAATAGGTCAAGGATCGGCACCTACATAAGAGATCGAAGTTACAGATGTAACTGAGCTCGATATCGAGGGTCAAAGTTCTAACAAAACCATCAGATTTGCCCTCGAGCTTATTAAGGGCACGACCGACCTCGTTTCTAACGGCCTCAAAGAAAGGCTTTACCCACTCACACGACAACTATCCGTGATTCTCGCCATTGACCAATCATTATGGCGAAAATTACGGGTTTAAGTCAAAAAGAGAGCCAATAGTCTACACAATTTCTTATAAAATAATGTCTTAAAGGTTTCATCTCCCCGTATATATAAAGGAAATGGAGTAATTCATTGAACACATTGTAACATACTTAAAAGAACAACATACTATCTTTTTCAGCTTTGTTCATATTGTTTTGGCTTCAATAATATTCCGGCAATATCTCTCCTAAATTCGAAGGAGGTTAATCCTATAAGGCTTGAGTTATTCAATTTGCATGGTTTGTATTTATTTTTCTATTCATTCTTCCATATTAAACCTGATTTCCCGCTTTGTATCAAATTGGATCACGTATCCTTAAAACCACGTATAAATTCAATTGTTATCCGATTTTGGGGGTAAACAGTTTGGCACCCACCGTGAGGCTAAGGATAATAGTGGTTATTTGATACAAATCTTCATAACACACACTACTTTACACTTGCTCTTTGAAGTATCTTTGATTTCAGGCCAAAAATGACAAACTCTCTATTAGAGCCTCTACATATCGATAACGAAGCCGGTCATCAAGGTGAGAATAACAACATGGCGCCCGGTAATGCGGGGCCACCTGCTGATGTCGTTGGAATTTAGACTGCGGATCCAATTGATGTAAATTCACATGAGGCCATCGACGCGAACTTGCGTACCGACCCTGAAAATAACGTCCATGGTGGAGCCCGATATGCAGCTTGAAACACACAAAATATTAAAGAAGGCGGGATTAGCCTGCGCATGATCTTCGAAATGCTGCAAGCTCAACAGGTGGCGATAGCGCAATTGTAGAGCCAAACCCAGGCACCGAGAAGGGTTGAACCCGATCCACCCCAAGAAATCACCCGCAGAATGGAACCGAACGTGGTAAGGTCGAATGAATAAGAGTCGGCGACTAACCCCAAAATTATAAAAATTCTCGAAGAGCTGACAAAGCGGATAGAGTCAGGGGAAAAGAAGATCAATGCGAACGATAAAAAGGTTAAAACCTATAATTCCAAGGTAGATCAAATCCCAAGAGCATCCCCGATATTGAAGGGACTGGATTCTAAGAAATTCGTGCAAAACCCTTTTCCTCCAAGCGCGAAACAACGGAACGACTAATCCAAACGAGCATATAACCTCTTATACATGTGCCATCAAAGGGAATGACTAGGAAGACGACGAAATCGAGTCTGTTTTGCTGAAAATATTAGGGGAGACCCTGTCAAAGGGAGCCATGATATGGTATCACAACTTACCTCCTAATTCTCTTGACTCATTTGCTATGCTTGCAGTCACTTTCGTAAAAGCACATGACGGTGCCATTAAGGTCGAAACCAGGAAATCAGACATTTTCAAAGTAAAACAGAAGGAGAACGATATGCTCAGGGAGTTAGTGTCCCGTTTTCGAATGGAACGAATAGAGCTGCCGCCGGTCGCTGATGATTGGGTTGTTCAGGCTTTCACTCAAGGACTAAATATTCAAAGCTCAGTGGTTTCGCAGCAGTTAAAGCAAAGCCTGATGGAATACCCTGCGCTACTTGGACCGATGTACATAATCGGTATTTATCAAAAAGCAGAGTCGAAGATGATCAACTCGGGGCACCTTCGAAGTCTATATATCCCATCAGAACTCTCGATAGAGCCAAGAGGGACATCGATCGTGAACCGGGACCAAACGGGGATCGATATCGGCCCTATAATGAAGATCGAAGGAACAATGGGTCGGGGAGAAACCCCGTAAGAAACGACAGGATAAGTGATCAAGGTCGAAGAAACTGGGGACTCATGACCAAAAGTAGCTTCGACAGGTCCATGGGGCCTAAAAAAGCACCGAGGCTATCACAATACAAATTTAATATCATTGTTGCCGCCATCGTATTTGCTATCGAGTGCATCAGTGATACCAAATGGCCTCGGCCTTTACAATCCGATCTAGGTTAGAGGAACCCTAACCAGATGTGCAAATATCATGGCACTCACGGTCATAGAATGGAAGATTGTCGACAACTGAGAGAAGAAGTAGCCCGTTTATTCAACAATAGGCACCTTCGAGAATTCTTGAGCGACCGAGCCAAGAACCACTTTAGAAATAGGGATTCTAACAAACAGACAGGATAAGAAGATACCTAACCCCATCACGTCATAAATATGATCATCGGTGGAGTCGACATCCCATAAGGGCCAATGTTGAAATGCACCAGAATATCCGTCACGAGGGAGAAATGGACTCGAGACTACATACTTGAAGGAGCCTTATCCTTCAGCGATGAGGATGCAAAAGGGATCATACAACCTCACAATGATGCACTGGTAATATTTGTACTCATAAATAAAACTAGAATCAAACGTGTGTTAATTGATCCAGGTAGTTCGGCCAACATTATTCGATCGAAGGTCGTAGAACATCTCCGTCTACAAGACAGGATCGTGCTAGCAGTCCGAGTCCTAAACGGCTTTAACATGGCATGTGAAACCACCAAATGAGAGATAGCATTACCGGTCAACACCGCTCGAATCATACGAGAGGCCAAGTTTTATGTAATCGAGGGGGAAGGTACAATGCCCTTCTCGGAAGGCCATGAATCCACCACATAAGAGCAGTATCCTTAACTCTTCACCAAGTGTTAAAATTCTCAGTCCCAGGGGGGATCAAGACAATCTATAGGGAACAACCGGCCGCAAAAGAGATATTTGTTATCGAAGAAGTGGTTCCAATATCAACGCTCACAACACCGAAGGAATCGAATTCTGACGCCTAGGCCAAGTAGCAATTACCGATTCCGGTAACGATCAAATAGATAAGAAAAAGACCTACGAAGATGATTACGGGCTTCCTCAATATTTTATAATCCCCGATGACTCCGACACGACCAAATCGAAGGTCGAAAAGCTAGAACAATTTGTATTAATCGAGCATTTGGCCGAACGAAAGGTACACCTGGGCACGGGACTAACTCCCGAACTAAGAAAAAAACTTATTCAATTTCTTATAGTGAATATAGATTGTTTTGCTTGGTCCCATCTTGATATGACAGGGATCCCACCAGAAGTAACCACTCACAAACTAAGAATAGACCTAAAAATTAATCCGGTCAAGAAGAAGAAGAAGCCCCAGTCTAAGGTCAAACATGCTTTCATCAAAGACGAGGTATCTAAACTCCTAAAAATAAGGTCCATTCGAGAGGTTAAATACCCGGATTGGTTAGCAAATGTAGTGGTAGTCCCTAAAAAGGGAATAAACTAAGAATGTGTGTAGATTACAAAGATTTGAATAAAGCGTGCCCCAAAGAGTCTTTTCCTTTGCCCAAAATTGATAGTATGATCGATGCCATGGCCGGCCACGAGATCCTCAGTTTTCTCGATGCCTATTTCGGGTACAACCAAATACGGATGGACCTGGGTGATCAGGAAAAAACCTCCTTCATCACTAAAACCAGCACATACAGTTATAATGTAATGTCATTTGGATTAAACAATGCTGGTCC